AGCGCAGCCTTTTTTGTCATTATATAAGACATTAAAGAATCATTTGAATGATTTCCCACGCCATCTATTAAAGGAATTGCCATCTGTCTCATGCAGACGCGTAGCGTCCTTTACGCATATACGCACATGCGTACTAGTGGCAAGAAAAATTACTGAAAAATTCACATAAAATTTATTGATCCCTTTTATAAGCCCTCGATGTCTCTCAAAATGCTGGACATTCCAAGAGTTATTATTTCAAAATTTCCTGGGGGAGATCTAGACTCCCTTAATACTCCCGCATTTAGAGGTCGTTAGACCCCCAGATCCAAAATATGTGTCGCGGTCCCTGACATGTGCGTACTAGCCCAAAAGTCCACGCGTGGCATGCACGTAACACCTTGCTTAGCCTATCCCACATGGTGGATTACATACTTTTTAAATTTAAAGGATTTCTTTTCCCTGTTCAAAGGCTTTTCCAGATCGCTCCATCGGCGTCAACGTACTTTTCATCAACTGATATCGATGCTGATGACTTTCAAAGACACATACAACTTGTCATGGGTACCCTGGGGACGGCTATCGACAACCTCGATGATTTGTCAGTGATAGTCCCTGGACTGCAGGGACTGGGTGCTACCCATGATTCGTTGGGAGTCAGAATAGAATACTTTAAGGTTAGCATGTTCTGACTTTCACACGGGAGAGCCTACGTAGCACTCAGTTGATGTAATGTATTCATAAAGATATAATACAAAACACATAATACAATAAAACGAGAAACAATGGAATACAATACATTTTATGAATACATTACATCAACTGCGTGCTACGTAGGTCACCCCACTTTCACACCAACACGAGAAAATTGTACATACAAAAGAGCAAAAAAAGTGTCTAAGACAACTTTAAAAAAAACGTTTATCTTTGTCAACAGTACGTCAAACAAGCATTACTACAAACTCTGTCCCAGGAATTGCAAGACGCTTTCACAGATGATTGTCGAGAAGCATGGACACTAGCGTTTGACGTCATAGTGGGCGCTATGATTTCTGGGATGTCAAACACGTGACTGCATTTAGCCAATCACATCTCTTTTTAGCAAACCATACATTTGTAGGTGAAATACGTCTAGCCTCCTTTGCAGACGTTATTAGTATCTGTCATACGTTCTCTCTCCACTAGAACGTTTGACCGATACTACTGTAATACGTCTGCAAATGAGGCTAAATATGTCACGGTCGTCGACCAATCAGAAGGCGCGTACAAATCCAAATCATAAATACCATTTTTATCAAAACATCTCAGTTTATTTACAAATCAACAGTAACAAATATATTATTCCAATAAAAATTTCATTGTACATTCTCATTTCGTTTGATTCTGATTCATAGAAAACTGTACATTTTAACWTTTGAACGAGAATATTTATAACAAAATTAAGTTCCTTACATATCATGAAGAACACGTAGAGCGAAATGTGGGATCTCGGGAAACGCTTCTGGAGTCGGTTGAAAAAAATTCGTATTCAGAGCCCGTGTAACTTTCAGCCTGCGGCGACGATTTGCGCATGCGGATACAAGGTTTAAGTAGCGTGGACAGTCGTTGTTAGCCGCAGGCCGATAGTAGCAAGGGCTCCTTATTAGCAACATATGTAGTTTCTGCTAGTGTCTAGTATGAACTATGTTCAATTTATAAAATAGTTCTATATAAATAGCAATAATATTTAAAACCTTTTGTTAGCTGTCAAACTCTAAAGCCGGGAATCTGTCTTGTCCATATTTATCGAAAAGATATTTTTTAAAGTCTTCTTTGAGTTCTTTGATACATCTGCAACAGACAATATACATAAAAACATCATCTTTATGTAAATATCAATAATCTTGTGGAATCTCTTTCTATTTCCACGAACACCATAGCCGTTTTCTGAATACAAATTCTAGCTACAGTACAAACAACGCCATATTTGTCAGCATGATCAAAATATGTTTATACCGAATCTAGCCCAAAATGCAATGAAATAGTAAGTGTCTCTCTCACCTTCTATATTGTTGACTTGAGCGGAATTTAAATATATCAAAAGATAAGGAGTGCGGTAAATGGACGATGAAAGCGTTGGGTAGAATAACGAACTCGTACCTAAGAAATCAAACAGGCGGTTACGTGCGGTTTACGTAAAGATTACGTAGCTATACGTAAGTATTCTCAAGCACTTTTTAGCTAAAAACTAACTATTTTGTTGCGTACATTGCACGTACAGATTTCGGGATAACACGTAAATAAACCACGTAAAAGTTAACGTAAAGATTACGTAGTTATACGTAAGCATTCTCAAGCTCTTTTTAGTAAAAATCTAACCATTTTGTTGCGTACGTTGGACGTAGTAATCTTACGCAAATAAACCACGTAAACGGAATAAAAAGTATACATATTCGTCAACAAGTTGAATCAAACGCACGCTCAACGTAACAATTCCGTAGCGTTACGTAACTATACTCACCCTTGAGCGTGTACTTCCATGATCTGGGATACTTTATTCCAACCAAAACCAACGAAACGCGTGTCGTAACGTACGATGTTACGTGGAACAACGATGTATGGCTCGAAGTCCTCCTCCCATTGGACCTACGTAAGACACGTCGCAGATGATTAACTTACTACACTTATATGAAAGAAAAAAATTAAAAGGATGGATGAAGGGATGAATGGATGACATTGAACGAATAATAAACAAATACACATGTGCACAATAATTTGAATSAATAAAAATCATATAAATTCTAAAAACAAAAAGCGCAAAGAGCCTTTTTTACCGTGTAAGGTGTGGTAGCTGTCCTCCATTTAGCATAGTTAGTAGGAGCATGTCCTTTACTCCATTCGTTTGACCTAAAAAAACACGTCATCAGTGACGTCAGTCTTAACGTCATCATACGTCACTATAACGTAACGCCAATGTAATCATATCTGACGTCATCAATAATATAACTAATGTCACAAATATTATCAACTAAATGTCATCACAGTTTATGACGTCATGTTTGACGTCATCAATGACGTAGTCCCTTAATGCAACGTCATCATACGTCACTATAACGTAACACCAATGTAATCATATCTCTGTATATCGTCATCAATAATATAACTAATGTCACAAATATTATTAACTAAATGTCATCACAGTTTATGACGTCATGTTTGACGTCATCAATGACGTAGTCCCTTAATGCAACGTCATCAAAATCATGCTCATAGACGTCATGTTTGACGTCATCAATGACGTAGTCCCTTAATGCAACGTCATCAAAATCATGCTCATATGATACCCTTGTCATTTTACCTGAAAGTAAAGACATTGCCGAGATCCCACTGTGAGAGAAGCTCCGGTTTTGTTCGAGGAAAATTCAGCTTATAACGTGGCGTCTCGAAAGCTGGCACGACGTAAGCCTGAAACAGCAGACAAATAAACTTGAAGTGTTGAAAATCATTTCAATTATTAAAGATTTTGCTTTACCTTCTTGGTGTTTGGCGTGTTGGATGACTTCAGCATTTGTCTACGAAACAATTACAAGTTAGTTAATCAACTTGAGTAATAGTTAACAATAATTTCACGGAAACTGCTTTGCACATCTTTCCTGTTTGTGACATTACGTCTTGTCACGTTGTCCATCAAATCAACAATCCATTCATTCATTTCCTGTAGTTACGATTGTATTTATCTTAACATCCAGGATCCATCCATTCATTAATTCAATCCCGCCGATAGTTTCTATTCATTTATTTATTTATTCATTCATCCATCCATTCTTAATTCAATCTAATAACCCATAGTTACCTGATGTAAGTGTCCATATCTGGCATTGGCAGGAAATCAATGTCAGTCAAGAATACATACGGTGTCCGTGTGTTCTCTAGAGCAACGTTCCTTAAGTAATTCACCGGGTAGAATTGCTGCAATAGACAGAGGGTATATTACATGGGCGCGCGGAAATACGGATTTAATCTTCGAGTGCTGAATAGAGAGATTTAAGAGGATAAAATTCATATCTCCAAGCGACCAAGTAATATTCTGTTTATCAAATAATTATCAATGCATGAAAGCATGTTATGTCGCAAAATAGCTTTTTTCTTACTTCCACTATATAGAGAAACCTCGAATATAGCATGCTATTTTCACTGGTGAAAATAGCAACTTTACGTAATGGAGAAATACTTATTACATAGATAATTATAATTCTTATCACCAATAGACTTCTTAAGCTTATACGTAATGTACCGTATACGCAATGCATTGTAGGATATGTTTGGGACAGAACATGGCGGATTTCCTTTGTTTTCTAGAAACTGATCCCACAATGCATTGGAAGTCAAGTAGTGACGTCAAAGGTTCAAAAGTCTATAGACAGTAAACCTACCCCTTCTTTAAACACGATATGATAACCAACGTTGTTTCTTGACTTTAACAGCGGTGAGTTGAGTGCGTAGTTCAGGAATTGTTGTGCTTCACTATCGGACATGTACATAGCTAAACTTATGGGACCTACAGAAAGATTAAATATTATGTAAAAAATAAAATACAATGGTTGGGTATTTGGTTATCAATTATAAATATAATTAATGTCTGATTGCTTCACTGATTGCTTGATTATCTATTTTTTATCATTTCAACATCAAATACAATTTTACTTGGCTATTTCGTTATCAATAATTTATAATATTTTAATGTCATTTCATTAGTATTGATTGTTGTTTGGTTGATTTATCAATAGGGTCAGTACTTCATGTAAGACCCCATAAATTGGCACTTTCTAATATATTACTGTATTAGGTTTAGGGTAAATCATGTTGGGTCTTAGATGAAGTACTAACCATCAAATAGACTTCTGAGCCTTTTACGTCACTACTTGATTTGCAATGCATTGTGGCATCAGTTTCAAGAAAAAACAAAAGAAATTCGCCATGTTTTGTCCCAAACATATCCTACAATGCATTGCATATATGGTACATGATGTAAATCCTTCAGAGGTCAATTGACTGAAAGATCGATCAACTGGTTGGTTATTTTATTGGTTAATCAGTTGATTGATTGAATGATTGACAGGTTGATTGACAGATTATACATGGGTTTACCTGCCCAGTTGCGGCACAAGGCCTCCACCATCTGAAGCCGATCCATAGAGAGCTGTGCAACAAGTGTAACATCATAATCCCCTACAGGCTAAAATAATCCAACAATATAAACAATATTTTAAAGATCAAACAATAATTAATTATCATTGATAGTGAGAGTTTAAATCTTACCGTATTAAAGTCATAACTGAGGTAGTATAGATGAGTTCTGTGAGTAATGAAATGTTGTTGCTTGAAGTCGTAACATGGATCCTCACTGTCGACACCAGGTACCTGTGATCACAACAGTTTATCATTAATAATTATCTCTACAAACTTTCATGTGGGTACTTTGTAGTTATATTTTGATTTTCAGAGGCCTAACATAATGAGCTGAAATACAGGTAGTGCCCCTTACGTAAACTGTTCAAGCAATCGTATGTATACATAGTTGAAAATAACTTTGGAACAAGAGAACGTCAAATGATGTTTGTCTTGGTTACCTTAGTAACAACACCTATCTCACTGGATGACAATGTATTGTTGTGTTGCTGGTCTGATTGGGATTCTTCACAATGGAAAAGCCAACGTCTGATGAAAAAATACACATCAATCAGGTCAATCCATCAATCAATCAGTCAGTCAGTCATTCCGACATTCAATCAATCTATCATTCAAGAAGTCAATCAATCATCCAATCAATCAATCAATTGCTCACCCAAACACTTACTCACTCAATTAATCAATCAATCAATCAATCAATCAATCGCTCACTCAATCACTTACTCACTCAATTAATCAATCAATCAATCAATCGATCAATCAATCAATCAATCGCTCACTCAATCACTTACTCACTCAATTAATCAATCAATCAATCAATCAATCAACCAATCAATCAATCAATCAACCAATCAATCAACCAATCAATCAAGCAATCAAGCAATCAATCAAGCAATCAATCAATCAATCAATCAATCAATCAATCAATCAATCAATCAATCAATCAATCAATCAACCAATCAACCAATCAATCAATCAATCAATCAACCAATCAATCAATCAATTAATCAATCAATCAATTGCTAAATCAACCAATCAATCAATCAATCAATCAACCAATCAATCAATCAATCAATCAACCACTCAATTAATCAACCAATCAATCAGCTTACCTCAAGAGAGTGCCGTCATACTCAAGAAATGTAAGATAAAGATTTCTAAAGAAGTCTCCATGTTTGTTTTTGACCAACAATTTCTTGGGAGAATTCCAGTGTACTATCTGCCGTTCAAAGAATGAAAATTGTAATGAGAATCACACTGCAAAAAAGAAAAACTACCATTTTTTGTTACATTCACTATTGGACAAGCAGGAATGTCAATATTATCTCACAGATGGAGTCAAAAATATCTGTCATCATCATCATACATTGTGATACCATCATACATGTAAGTCTCTCATATTTAAGCAAAGTAGAATAACTTTATTTAATTTTACCTTTAATTCTGTAACCTTGGAGTAGCATAGCTAATAGAAACAGAAGAAAACAGATCAACTAACCACAAAAGAGCACATTATATAATAGAGCGGATTTCGTATGAGTGGGAAACGGACGGTACTGTACTGTGACCGTAATCGTACTGTAACCAAATTCTAGTGCCCCATTGGTTCACAAAAATTGTGCAGGCCAGGTTTGGTAACTGTACGGTAACCGTGCGGTAATGTTGTCCCACTCATACGAAATCCGCTCTAAGAGTAGAAGAATCAATTTTACCTCACTTCTTGTGTTGTCACCCAGTTGTACGTTCCATACACAAGGAAGTGTGTGGACTATATGGGGTCGGCTTTTTATCACAGCATTGAATATATCCTATCAATCAAAATCATTATCAAATATGACAAAGACAACGATGAATGCCATCACCATCATCATTATCATCATCATTGTCATCATCATTATCGTCATCATTATCGTCATCATCATCACCATCATTATCATCATCATCATCATCATTATCGTCATCATCATCATTGTCATCATCACCATCATCATCACCATCGTCATCATTTTCATTATCACTGTGTTTCATCATTATCGTTGTCATCA